CCCCCCCCTCTCTCTCTCTCTCTCTCTCTCTCTCTCTCTCTCTCTCTCTCTCTCTCTCTCTCTCTCTCTCTCTCTCTCTCTCTCTCTCTCTCTCTCTCTCTCATTCTCTCTCTCTCCCTCCCTCCCTCTCTCCCTCCCTCCCCCCTCTCCCCTCCCCCCCCCATCTCTCCCTCTTTCTCTCTCTCTCTCTCTCTCTCTCTCTCTCTCTCTCTCTCTCTCTCTCTCTCTCTCTCTCTCTCTCTCTCTCTCTCTCTCTCTCTCTCCCTCCCTCCCTTTCTCTCTCTCTCTCTCTCTCTCTCTCTCTCTCTCTCTCTCTCTCTCTCTCTCTCTCTCTCTCTCTCTCTCTCTCTCTCTCTCTCTCTCTCTCTCTCTCTTCCCCATCTTCCCCCCTCCCCCTTATCCCACTCCTTGTTTCTCTTTAATTAATGCAAAAGTTTTTCTTCTTTCAGAAGTGTTGTACTGATCATGTAATGGCAACAGAAAAAAAAGAAAGGGCTTCCAAAGTTACTAACAGAGATAATGATATAGATCCTGATGAACTGTGGTTACGGCGAAGACTTCCACGGCACTTACCAAAGCGTAACAATGATGTTTATGTAAATAACTACTCAAACTTTAAGGTAAGATCACTGCAGATTTTCACGTACAGCTTTATTAATACCATTCTAATAATCTCAACATTGATTATTTTGAAATGTAAGTCTATTGTTATAGATGCTGAAACTAGCGTATGCACTATTGCTGGCAGGCAAGAATCTTTTTAGCAGACTCACAACACGACAGACTTAACTGGTAGTTCTGTTGCAGAATTCAAAAAGCTGAAATATCAAAGGAGATGATATATATTTTCATATGCCATTATTGATCAAGATCACTTGAATTGCTCTAGAGTAATGCAAGGCATCTGCAGTGCATTGCAATAGTATTACAGAATTGATTTATACAAACACATTTCATTGTTTTTACATACACTGCCATACATTCACAGTTAGCTGTAAGAACCCAACCATCCTTCTTGTGTACACCAGCCCAAGCTCCATACATTTGTGACTTGCCTTACCACTGACTTGGCAAAACCTTTAAAGAGTTCAGAAAGATTTAATTAATACTAGGCACACTCATATCATGTATTAGAAGCCAAGAATTTGAACCAGTTTTTAAATTTTCCTAAAATTATCAGATTTCAAGTACTCAGTTAAATTAGTTTCTTACAAATTTCTTAAAGGTTTCATTACAGTGTTGATGCTCACTGCTCATTGCTTCATGAACATTTAAAAATAAGCTTCTTTGAGCTTTTGCAATGTTTATATGTTTATACATTACTATGAAGAATACAGTGTAAAACAAGTTGCCTGCCAGCTGTTGCAGAGATGCAAAAATTGTAAACATACAACTTATGTTATATGTTTATTCATCTATTTGATGATTCCTTCCTCTCCCTGCTTCTTTACTAGGGTCAAGAAGCACGAGCACTAAACCTTTTGCATGAAAGTGGATGGGTTGTAGTACATGGTCTGGGCTCGGCAGTACCACGTGCTATCAATCTAGCCCTCTGTCTCCAAGTTGCAGCAAAAGCACCTGCAATTATTGATACACGTACTTCAACTGTTTACCTATCAGGTATGACCTAGAAACTTTTTTATTTTTTATATTAGTTATATATGTTTTTTTTCTTTTTCTTTCTTTCTTTCTTTTTTCTTTTTCTGCTAATGCACCATCAGCAAGGACTGGTAGACAGCAGAATTAATGTATTTGAAATATTTTATGTCAGGTATACTTTTAATGATGTGAATATTATTACTGACCAAATATTCCTGTCTGTACTGTATATCATTGGTATTATTACTGTCTTCAGTTTGCTGCTCTCTATTCTAAAACTTAAAGTATATTGGTATTGAAAAAGAGATAAAAGAAAGTTTTGAGGTTGTTTTGTCACTAAATTAATTGCCTGAATTTTCATTTTGCAGATGATATTGAACCCACATTTGATGGAGGTGACCAGGAATATCATGCAAAGGGAAATGCTGCTGTCCATATTAAAGTTACCCTAAAGGAAAATATAACCAAGGAATCCCCTACTACAGAAAAGAGCAAAGCCAGTACATAAGTGTGGCAAACCAGTTTAGACTCTCAGTACATGATTGACAATTGAATGAGGAAAACTTTTATGAAAAATTCTTTCACCATCAAATAAGTGTTAACATCAGAAAAGTTTTGAGCTTTAAAGTACACTTTTTAATGCAGAAATACCTTTGAAATCAGATATTTTTATATTTATAAATTATTTTGTTATATTAAGAGCTAGAAGTATTTTGCAAAATGTTTTTTTCCTTGTGGGAACTAACCATGTGGCTTGGTGTCACTGTTCTGGAGGTGAGTCTCTCTTATAGTCTACAAAGTGCTTGTGAAATTTTTGAAAATAGGTATATATCATTGTTTTATAAGCTTAGAAAAAATATTACTGTTGCTTTTAGCATTTGTTGTAGCTATGTAAAGGAATGGTAGTTCTAAAATGAGAAAGTTGGTTCATACTCAAGTCTGCTTAAAAATATATTTAAATTTTGAACTTTACAGAATGTATTGGGTGTATTTACTTTCCAAATTCTTGTTCCAGATGTTCATATGGCTCACGGCAGTGTTGATCACACTTGTCCTGGTGGTCCTGCGAGTGGAAGAGGTGATACCACGAATGAGTTGGTGGGTCGTCCTCTCCCCCATGTTCATAGCCGATGCTCTCAATACGTACTTTTGTGTCATTGTCCTCATTAGAATGTACCTGAATGGTGTGCTCAAACCAGCCGCATTACGAGCACTTTGGAGTTTTTCTGTACTTACATTAGGTTTTATTTTTAAATTTCTCTTGTGTAAAAAGTTGGTGAAACCCACGGAATTTGAATATTCTGCTGTTATGTCACCTGTGTTTATTCTCCTACAGTTAATCATGATAAGAGCATGTCACCTTAATTAATTTGTAATATTCTCTCATGTTTTAATGAATAAATAAATTAGTTTACAAAGATTATTTGACTGATTTTCATAGTGTATCTCCCTGTGATTTACAACATCAATAAATAATGTGTAACTTGAATTCTAGTTTTCATTAAAAGCTACCTCCAAAACCAGCAAAAGACTTTTCTAGTATTTTTTAAAACAAAGATCTACTGAAAATTAAGGCCTGTATTTGTTACCTGCACACAAATTGCATGCAAGTAACAGAACAAGTAAGTTTAATATAAAGAGATGAATTAAGTTATTTGTGTGAAAACCAAAGAGCTTTTTTTTATTATCCACTTTAAAAGCAGTGTGAACATAGTTATAAAATAATTAGGAAATTAATGATAGTGATAAAGCATATATATATGTTTTCAAGTGCAATTTTTTTTCTGGATTTTAGATTGTCATTGTTAAATTTGATTTTAGGTTACATTTGAAGAGTTGCCAACCAGCCTCCTTTATGAAATCAAACACAAAATGGAGAAATGGGTAGCCATTCTTACTGTGTGCTTTGCAAGACCTGTTACACAACAGAATGAATATACTTTTATGACAAAGAAAAGGAAATTAGGAATAATTTGGTTGGCACATTATTGTCAACAGGAACCTGAGAGATGGTTTCACAGTAAATTTTCATTTTGCTTTTAATAGGTAAATTAAATATTTCTTTCATTGGCTACATAAGGAATACAGTTTTGTAGCAGAATTATATTGTAAGATTTTTTCATGATTGTTTTGCACCTTGCTGAAGAAGTTATGCCTGGAAGTAAATTGCATTGTTTGCCATTGCAATTTACTTTGAACTAAATGCCATTCATGCAACTTACATCAAGAGCTTTCCTTATAAGTAAATTACTTGCGCATAATTTGTTTCATACCATAAATACAGGCCTTACTGATACTTTGCCTCCACTCTTAAGACAATTACAACTTGAAAATAAAAACATTACATTATGTTTTAGATTGTTAACGATATGATGTGTAGAGATTGTCTAGAGTTCTCATGAGGCTTGCCATTCTGTGCTTATCCAGGAGCTTTGTAATGTTTAGGATATATATATTTTTTAACAACCTTGGAATTAGTGTTTAGTAGTATTTAATCACTTTCCAATTAAAAATAACAAAAGGGTATAAAAATATCAATAACTTTATAAAACAATTTATGTACATTACATACATTTACATAACAAATTTCACATATATATATTTTGTTTTACAATTTACATGTGCACAATTGTCTGAACATTACGAAAGCAAACATCTCTATTGTACTCATTTCAATTGTTCATCACTTTTTGATATCCATTCATTTGGATTAATATCAAACTCCTCCATTTTCTTGTCAATAACCCACCACTGACCCAAAAAGCCAATGTCCATGATGCGTTCGTGAAATGTTAAGTAACGCGGTTTGAGGTACTCACAGCGCGATTTAAACACTCCACAAACTTTGGAATAATTATCAACCCACAGAAACGAGAAGAGGCCAATGTTCAACCTGAAAAGATGGTGCAGGATAAATACAGGTGAGGTTGGGATTATAGTGTTATATGTATATGCACACCTATATGTCTTTATATATATTTCTTCCAAGCTTTGCTTGACCAATGGCATCAAAGTCTGACAGATATCTCCAAGTTCAAAAAAATTATAAATTCTGAATTTACTAATTTGCTAATAGCAAGAAAATATACAGAACATACCTATCAACAATTTGGAGAGAAAAAAGAAGGGTATTTCATAAGAAATCTACTTTACAAAACAAATTTTTTAACTCACCGTCTAACCAGTCCATGGTTATAGCAGTCCACTAAATACTGGAAATGAGCATCAACCTCTGGATTTCTGATGCTTTCGCTAAGCATTGCCGACTCATTCATGTAGGTCTGGAGGGTGCTCCGGAAATCCTTTTCTTCGGGGTTTGTGTTGTAAGCATAAAGTGTTCCTCCAAGCACTGCAAGATAAATCAGTGAATTAGAAATAAGATAAATTCAATAAAATGAATGGATGTTAAAAAAAATAATAATAAAAAAGATATTAAGAACATAGTTAATATCTCAAGGTAGAAAGACTTATTTTTCAATAAATACTTACGAGAATAATAAAATGCTGCCTTTACTGGATACTTGTACGAGTCTTTGACAACATCAATGGCTACTTCCTTGTAATCCTGAGCTACACCCATCCAGTAGTTACCTTGGGAAAGAGAAAGGAAAACACTCTTATTGTTTCTCACACCTTAAATCTTGAATAATTCTTGAGAAAGAAAATGTACAGCACAAGACAAAGGTTGTCTAAACTGTTATTACTGCTCCTGGGGAGCCATAAGCAGTACCTTAGGGTCACAGATTTATAGAATTACACAAATATATAGATACATACAAATATACAAGAGAGAGAGAGAGAGAGAGAGAGAGAGAGAGAGAGAGAGAGAGAGAGAGAGAGAGAGAGAGAGAGAGAGAGAGAGAGAGAGAGAGAGAGACAGAGAGACAGAGAGACAGAGAGACAGAGAGACAGAGACAGAGACAGAGACACAGAGACACAGAGACACAGACACAGAGACACAGCGAGAGACACAGAGAGACACACAGAGAGACACACAGAGAGAGAGAGAGAGAGAGAGAGAGAGAGAGAGATAGAGAGACAGACAGAGACAGAGAGAGAGAGAGACAGAGACAGAGAGAGAGAGAGAGAGACAAGAGAGAGAGAGACAGAGAGACAGAGAGAGAGACAGAGAGACAGAGAGACAGAGAGAGAGACAGAGAGACAGAGAGAGAGACAGAGAGACAGAGAGAGAGACAGAGAGAGAGAGAGAGAGAGAGAGAGAGAGAGAGAGAGAGAGAGAGAGAGAGAGAGAGAGAGAGAGAGAGAGAGAGAGAGAGAGAGAGAGAGAGAGAGACAGAGAGAGAGAGAGAGACAGAGAGAGAGAGAGAGAGACAGAGAGAGAGAGAGAGACAGAGAGAGAGAGAGAGACAGAGAGACATAGACATAGATATGCATACATACATACATACATGTATAAGTTTGGCTCCTAGTGACTACAGGCATTATTAAACTTGTTTGCCTGAAGTAACAAGAGGCAAATACTCAGTGATATCATATTGGTAGGCCTACCAAGATCAGCCCATAATGACTAATGCAAGATTGTGCCAGATAAAGATACTAGCCTCTGATATTCTTCTAAAGGAAAATTAAGCTCTTATGCAGCATCACAGTAATGCTCACCAAGTGAACCTTGGTGAAAAATTACAACTTTCTCAAGCCATTGACACATTCCTGACCCCTTATGTCTGCAATCAATTGATATTTTGTCTATCATATTTATAGGCTAAGAGAAAAAAAAAAATACAACTGATAGTTATTGAATTAAAATACAATATCCCTAAAGAAAAAAATGCTTCTTAATATATTCTTAATACAAACTCTGACATGCAGAGCAAATTGGCCAGCAATACAATACACACCAATTGAGAACCATTGTGATAGAGCAAAAGACAATTTTGTTCCCCCTGCTGATGGATTAATTACCAATAAAAAACAACAACATTAGGAAGGTTTACCACATATGATATAGGATGGCAAGTTTCCAATTTTATTTTATCAGTTGTAATTAGTCAACTGATAAAGTAACAGTGCTTATCTTAATAGCTTTGTTAATAGCATTCTACTAAAATTGAAACGTACATGTATCATTGGTTAAAGTATACAAAAGGACCGCACCGACTAGGAGAAAATTTAAGATCATAGCAATGTAGGCAATGAAAAACTACATTGACTGATATCAAAATTCATTTGCAAAGTTTGAATCTGCAGCATGTGATAGGAGAGGGGCAAAAATTACCTATGATTATATGGCCTGTCACCATCAACAATTATCAAGCGACTGCACGGAGCAATGCCTTGGTCTCAGCATAGCCCAACAATCCACCATCAAAATTTTGGCAAGATAAGTGGCTGGACTAATTCCTTATTCAATGGCATATTGGCTAGGAGGTCTGTACGAAGACACATGGGTGAAAGTTTCTAACTCTTACTAAAGTGGAAGAAGATTCTAATATTAGAGTCACTGCAAGTAACCTTTTTAATACCTAACTGCCCCATATTCGCACCCTTGTGCAAATTAATTCATAGAGAAGATAGGATCCTTTGGGTTGATATAAACATTTGTATCCAGTATAGTTTCAATTTTCCAAAGCTGTGTGGAACAAGATAAAAAGAACATATAATGGACAGAATAAAACTGATGACACTTTTCCTATATGCCATTTCCATTACATAATAATGATCTTTGCTTATGCATAATGTAACAAAAATACTATATGTTATTATTCCTACCCCAGAATTAACGATCCTGGAATATACGAGGTAGTTTCATGTCTTACACCGATTCCCTGAGATAATAAGCAAACAAACCCAAAAGTATTATAGATTGCCTAATAACAAGTATTCTTCTTCATTTACACGGTTTTAGACTTTAATAATGAGTCTTACTTAAATAACAAATCTTACCGGGTACCCATGCAAGGAGTAATTTACATCCCCTCCAAGCACAGCAAATACAAAAAACATCAATAACAGATACATTATTTTGTCTCTTCACTACCTACCCCACTTCTCTATATAGCCTCCTTTCCATTTTTCCGGTAATTTGACTTTCCATGGCTCTTTTACACTGAGCGAGGACAACCTCCTCACAGCAGAAGTAAACATCTTGTGGACATAAGGGACCACTTATGTAAAAATAATAGAATTAACATTTATAGAAGGGTAGAAATAATATAGGATAGAAGGAATAGGAAAGGATAGAAGTAATATTAATATGTATAAGAAATTGTGAAAAGGAATAGAAAAGAAGGAATAGAAGGAATAGAAAAGGATGGCAGTAATATTTATATGTATAAGAAATTGTGGGTGTGTTTAGGTGTTGTATGAATATCTGTGTATTTTGTTTGTGGTGTACTTTTCATGTTGGTGAATATTATATCAAAATCAGGTAAAATTGTTCATCTATATGCTCTCCCTATAAAAATCGTGTGGATTTAAAAAGGGGTCACTCATATAACCAAAAAAAAAATGTATACAACTTTCTATTATACTCACATATATTGGTTCTAACTTATGAATCCTCATATTTGTTTTATAGACCCTCTGTCTTTTATTAACTATTTGTTTTATCGACAAATATGAAAACCAACTAGGCCATTGTTTATTTACATACACTATCCCTGCCCAGTTCTCATGGTAGACGATTTTTCACAAAATTTTCAACTTCGGAATTCCATATTGCACAGCTAAAGGTATAGATAATGAGACTTTTTAAATTATCTTTTATTGAGTAAGACATTTATATGTGTAGTATGTGATTAAAATATAACTCTGCGCTTACAATATCAGTTAACTATTTACAGAAAGGGAAGTAAAGCAGTAGTGATTTATGCTGTTTGTATGATTAAGAATATATCATGCTGTATAAAGAAATAAAATCTTCCACTTATCGAGAGAAAAACTAGCATGCTATATATTTTCAAAAAAGAATCTGTAGAGTCTAAAGAATATATTGTAATCTGTCAGACAAATTGATCGTTACCCAATGAGCAAACCTCTTTGAAAAGCAGAGTGAAATTTTCCAGAGTATAACCCCATCAAGTAATGCTGTGGCTTATGCACTTCGGCAAAGGCCAACAAATCTATATCACGTATTTTGGGTAAATTTCCGATTTTTCATTTGATAACTTCATTATTTTTAAGTTGTGACGGAAGTACATAGAAGATAAGTTTCTTGGATTTATTTGCTCTATTGTTTGTATGTATTATTTTCTATGTAAAAGATGGCTGGATGAAACTGGAACCTTACCGTATTTAGTACGTTAATTATGTTGATTTGTATACTGTTTATTGCATTAGTTTTTTTTCTCTAATCTGCATATGGTCCTACCCTGGATAATTACTACAATCAGTTTTTTTGTCTTATTATATCATGTAAGTGTGTATTATATCAACATTTTTTTTATGGAGGGATTGAGAGAGGCCAAGTTAGCCTACTGTGAACTAGGCTTTCTTTCTGTCAGACATGTTGGTCTAAATGCATAGAACAGGCTTTTATTTCTTTACAACCTGGGGTTTAGGTTAGATTAGACACACCAGCCTGATCATCAAGGAAGGCTAACTGTGTGTGTCTGAGTTAGTGGTAGGCAAACCTATCTTTTAAACACTTATTTTGCAAAATCGTGCTGATGGTTATGCAGGCAAATTATTGTGCATGTGACCTGACCTGGTTTGACTTACCTAACCTAACTTGACTGACCCAATTCTTAACAAAAACCAACCCAGACTCAACCTCAATGTAATTTAATTAATCTTAAACCCTAATCCTAACTGACCTTATTCTAAATATGTCCAAGTATTTCAATTATATACGACTTTCCCTTTGTTTTTGTTTTCATTTTTTTATTAGTATATATCCTTATCTCTTGTTTCTTTGCCTGTTGTTAGTATTTTTACTACTTATTCATTTTCTTTTTTTATTAGTTTATTATTATTATTATTTTTTTTTTTTCATCTGTATGATGATTTTAAAAAAAATTGATTTCTTCTTTTCTATATCATAATTCCCTTCTTTGATATTCTCCTGCTCTCTTTCCTCTTTACTGTCATTTCTTCTTCCATCTTTCTTTCTTCTTCTTAACCTTCTAATACTATGTTTGTTTTTTTTTCTTTTACCCCAGTTTGTTCATTATTTTGCATCTCCTTTTTCTCACCTGACCTCTCCTTCCTTTTCCTTTTTCTTACTTCCTCCTCTCCTAATCACGCACCTAACCATAGTTAATTAATTCTTGATCATTCGAAATTTACCAAAAACTCTTGTACTGAAAAGATTTGTAAAAAGTAAGGTCAAATCTTTACCTTCCCAAAATACTGCTTAGTCCTCATTTATGTTAATTTCTAAATCTGACACATTATTTACACTTGTAATTCCCTTTCAGATAAACACTTTCAACCATGTGGGTGTCTAGCGTAAGACTGGCTGCTGATGCTTACCTTGTGTGTCTTCATCATGCCCTCACAACGGAGAAGGAAGAAGTGATGGGACTGCTTGTAGGACAGTTCAGTGAGGTATTGAAAGCATTTGGTCTTAATGTTATGTATATCGGACTGTGATATGATATCAGTGATACAGTGGTCATTATACTGCCAAAACTGTATTCTTTTACTTTTTTTTTATTAACTTTATTATGAAGCCTAGAATATTTGTTGGATTATAATATGGCTGGGCTATACACAAAGTCCTTGTAGACTACAATGATAATGTATATGAATGAAATGGTACAGTCATTATATTTGAGAATTTATAAGGAAAGTCAGATAAAGTGAAAGTAAGAACATTGTAATTCATTCCTTACTGATTCTACATTTCAAGATCAACAGTATTTGTGTTATAGTTAGGTGGTTCAGATGATTCTGGCTGGTAGTTAACATTAATAAGAACTTTTTAAGATTCTAGTGAGACCTAACTAGTTTTGAGTTATATTCATATTGATGTATTCCTATTATTTTATTTAATCTTATGTTGGGCATGAAATGGTAATAATTCAGACATTTTTGTATCAGAAATTGATTCCCTTCTATATTTTTCTTATAGTGCTCTATGTAGTTTTGCAGTTTTATTAGTTTTTTCACTGGTTTTGCCTATCTGGTATCTTCTAGGGCAACGAAGTTACCTGTGATATTTATTCTGCTGTTACACTGAGAAGATCAGATAAAAGGAAGGACCGTGTGGAAATATCACCTGAGATGCTGATTGAGGTGAGGTTCAAATTCCTTATCCCTATTTCCTGTTTTAATTTTTAAAGAGAATAATGTAGGATGAAGCTGCATCGGTAATATCGTTTACAGTTGTTGTTGTTGTTTTGTGTGTGTGTGTGTGTGTGTGTGTGTGTGTGTGTGTGTGTGTGTGTGTGTGTGTGTGTGTGTGTGTGTGTGTGTGTGTGTGTGTGTGTGTGTGTGTGTGTGTGTGTGTGTGTGTGTGTGTGTGTGTGTGTGTGTGTGTGTGTGTGTGTGTGTGTGTGTGTGTGTGTTTTTTAATAAGGCAGGAAAATTGTAGAAAATAATAAGTAAAGACAAAAACTCAATTTCCAGAACTGATCAATCGTTATAGAGGAAGAACATCTTACATTCTATTGTTTTATTTTTTGTGGTTCTCTTATATTATTTTACTTGCATGGTGGAATAAAACAAAACTTTAAAAGGGACATACATACCTTTTAATCTTAAAATAAAATCTAGAAAATTTATAGTTTTGGCTAAGAAATACTTGAAAGACTATAGATTGACATCTTTTAGATCCAACACCTCAGTAGTCACAATTGATTTCAGGCCCAGAACAAAGCCGAGCAAATGTCAGCTTCCAGTGGACAGGAACTACACATTGTGGGCTGGTATCACTCTCACCCACACATCACAGTTTGGCCCTCTGATATAGGTAAGTGGTTCTTTGAGGCTGTTGATGGCATTCCTTCTTTCTGGTTAGATATATGCAGTTACTGTTTTTAATTTATTAAAGATGATTCTTTCTTTCTTTAACATATATATGCACACACACTATCACACACCCACCTATGTACTAACTCACTAAGTCACCCACACATATGCACATGTGTACAAGGGTACTTTGGGTATTATGACTTTGGAATGTCTTGTTTTTGGTTAGAAATAACTCCATTTATTTCTCATTTTATAAAATTACCAAATTTATCAAAGTCAAATAATATCTAGGGGTGAAGTTGCAGATCAACAGAGGATTTTTCTGCTGAAGTTGACTTAAAATTGCCTATATCTGTATTTCTTTTTACTGACATTTTTGCTCTTTTCTAAAATTTTGTTATATTTCTACTGACTACACTCTCTCTCTCTCTCTCTCTCTCTCTCTCTCTCTCTCTCTCTCTCTCTCTCTCTCTCTCTCTCTCTCTCTCTCTCTCTCTCTCTCTCTCTCTCTCTCTCTCTCTCTCTCTCTTTCTTTCTATCTCCCTCTCTCCTTCCTAATGAATCCCAATGACTTATTACTTTGCTTAACTTGTAAACATATTCACTTTCAGATTTACAAACCCAGGCAGGATACCAACAAATGGACAGCAGATTTATTGGCCTTATATTCTCAGTTTACAATGAAGACAAGAAAACCAAGGTATGTTTTCTCTTACATAACTGTCTTCTTCATTGATTTTCTATGGGAATTATGCTTGTGTGTTTGATATGTATAAATTTCTGGAAGGTTTATCATGAAAATTATTTTTACACAAGAAAAGAATCTACAAAAATGTCCATTTTTCTCATCTTCATGTATTTGGAAGTAATAATACATACATGTATTTTTTGTAATTCTTCCCAATGATCTAGTCAAGGTGAGGAAAAAATATCATTACCTGCCATTAAATCATTAACAGGTAGGAAGCCATCAGGTAACCTGCTTCCAAGCAACCAACCAGAGTCCAGAGGGAGAGGCTCCTCAG